CGCCTCCCCAGGACGTGTCCCCCTTCCCCGCCATCCCCATAGTCCCCTGGCAGCCCCTCTCCCCTTCTGCCTCCCTTGCTCTCTTCACCCTGCTTGATTATCTGGTCTCCCTCCTCCCTGGTAATAACAACCCATTTTATTTCACCAAGCACAGCACAGGGGTGCATTTGCCTCCCGAAACAGCACCCAAGAGGCCCAGCAGCAGGGTTGCCCAGGCAGGGACCCCTCTGTGTGGGGGGCAGCCCCCTGCAAGGGGAGGTGCTTGACAGGATGGCTGGTGTCTCGGCCTAGAGCTGTCAGCGCTGTCCTTTCCCTGCAGTTACAAATTTTCAACACCACATGGTAATTTATTTTTTTTAGGCAGAAGTAGCCAATGCAGATGCTTTATCAGAGACTTAAAAAACCCCTTAATGAGGTTAAAATACACCATACTATTACTTATGAATCTATAATCTTTTAGCAGTAAAGCAGTATGACCCGAAAGACTGAGTGCTCATACATATCACTCAGGAAAAAAGCTACTGAGGAATTCCCTCTGTGATTTTCCCTGTAATCTGCTTTGATTGTATACCATCACTGGACTGCCAGTCCCTTGCTGGGCTAAAAAAGTGCTTTGGAAAGGAACTCCTTCTCTCTGCATGAAGCTGGCAGATGCCCGCTTTGATCAGGCGCTGCCTGAAGGAGAATGGCTTCATCTCCTGAACAGCATGGCATGAATTTGAGTCTTAAAATAATGGTTGCATACTTAACTTCTCTGAAATGCAGGTTCCCCCACTGTTTCTTGATATACCTGCAACTGTCCACCTGCTTATTCTTTCCATTTCTTTAATGCCTTCCTTCATATCTGCTCCTTTTTGAGTAAAACATGTAATTTTTGGAAGCCCAGCTGTAAGATCTTCAAGATCTGTTTTTATCTCCAGTTATCATCCAGTTATGTCACTGGTCCATTCTTCTGTTACTGCACACAACATCAGATAATCTGGCTAATGAACTTCTCAGTGAGAAATAATGTTACAATGTGTTTTGTCAATGTCCTGGGAAAGTTTTTATTTTAAATTTGTTGTTTTGTCTTGCAAGTTTGTTTCCATTGTTCCTCTTAAATGAACTAGTTAGCATACAAAATGTCAAATATTCACTCAGTTCCCTACATTAGGTCCCCAAAATAGGTCTCTAAAGCCCCATTGTAGATTCTGTTGGGAATGATTGCCTCTGCTTTGCAAACCATCTGGTAATGCAAGTGGACGTTTTTGCATAATCACTGCAACAATCACTTAAATTTTCTTTTCATCAGCAAAGGGAAATCTGACTGTAATAAAACTCTGTCCAGAATAGTTTGTATGACTTCTTTTTGTATAAAGGGTATAGAGCATAATGTCTCCAATGTGTTTGTATGCAGATTGTGGAATATTGTTGTTTTCTTGCTCAGAAATACCTGTTTGCACTGGAAATACTGGCACAGAAAGATCTGCCACCAAACACATTAGTAAGCAGGCCTTTTTTTTTATTTTTAATTTCCAGCAGACTTGCCAAGTAACTTATTAGAAATGCCAATGGTTTTCATATTTTCTGTGAAGACTAAAATAATTAGTCACAATTATTGTCATTTTTTTCTGTTTTCTCTATTAATTTAATCAGGTTTAATCAATGGACTGTTGAATGGAAGATGGTTGTTCAGATGCGGCAAACCTGCCCAACATGATTAAAAAAGAAAAAGACACTTACCTTTCCCAATATGCTTTATGTGCAGACAGGATCCCCTCTTACATCAATATCAGTATCACCATTACATAATTCTGTAAACCATGTCAGATGAAACGCTGTTGAACAGAAGGGAGATTTAACTCTGGTCATCTGTAAATAATATAATATATGCAAAACCAGTTTCACCTCTTTCCCAAAGGCTGTAGATAGAGGACCTGCACTGACACGTGCGAGTTTGGGCTGTGTTGGTACATAGTTTACCCAGCTTGCAGCAGACCAGTCCGTGTGAAAGTGTGCAGCCATTCCAGGACCACTGATAAAACTGGATGATTTCACAAAACCTCACTGAGACAAAGAAGTGATGAAAGAATACTTTTACTTAATGCATGGTGGGAACAATTTGTTTTCACAGATCTCTATACTTTTTACTGATTTTTCTTCAGAGTCTGTTTGAAAGGCTTGCTAGTCTTTTTTTGGCATTAACAATCATGAAAATACTTATGCTAATTTGATAAAGCCCTAGGTTTTTAATCAGTACTTCACTGTAGTTCCCTGCTTGTCAAGGAGAGGAAAATGCTAAGGCTTTTTTGGTGCAGTGGGCTGGAAACAAAGTAATAACATCTAGCTCAAGAGTGAGCACTGGTTCTCATAGAATTTCTTTACCTTCATTATACAGAACCTTTTCACTGTTTGAAAGATTGCCTGGCATTAAATATTACTATGTGAAAACTCTAAACCCAGGTCTCCGGTGTCTTTTGGCCACTGAAACTCCTTTGCTAGCTGCTAATGAGTTGCTAGTGCTTAAGAAATACCCAGGATTAAATTTCATTCTAACATAAACATTTATAAGCATGAATTAGTTATGGCTTTGCCTCAAGCACTGAAAAAATAAAAAATGTCTGCCCACTTTCAGCTTTCATCCTGCTTATTTCTGTGCACACTGTGCTGGCGGAAGACTCTGATGACACACTGTAGCTAGTTTACTTTTTGTGAACATCTGGCATCAGGAAATAAAAGAGCATAAAACACTCCATTGCTTGTCTACATGAATCAATCTGCAACCCGAGCTATGCTGAAAATAATGGATGCGGGATTAATTTCTGCAAGGGTTGTATCACTCTCTTATGGAAAACTCAGCAGTTTTCATATGGATTTTTTTAAATGTTACAGGTGACGTGAGTGTGTTTCACAAATGATGCTTACTGTGGCAGAGTGAGCTGAAGTTACTTGGCACTTGGTGTCTTTTCTAGCAGATTTTATTTTTGTTGGTGTTCTTACCAGATATGTATTTGGTATGGTGCAACAAAAGATTTTAATGATTTTATAAGTTGTTCATAAGTCAGATGGTGGAAAAAGACTAAAGGGAGATATGACATCTAATGTTTCTTTCAGTCACTGAAGAACTTGTTAGAAGACGTGCAGAACATAACAACTGTGAAATTTTTTCACTGGAAGAAATCTCTTTACATCAGCATGAAATAGAAAAACTAGAGTATCTTGACAAATGGTGTCGAGATTTAAAAATTCTCTATCTTCAGAATAATCTAATTCCAAAACTTGGTAAGTGTTTTCTGGATATGTTTCTTTTTAAATGGGTTTACATGCATAATTTTGAAATCAGAAAAAAATATCTGTTGTGTTATACATTAAGGGAATGTAGAGTGAGTAACTACAGAAAAGTTCTTTGTGGATCTGCTCCTAGAAGATTTCCTTTCCCTGTCTCTTTAGTAAATCTCTAAGAAGCTCAGAAATTCGCAAGAGAAATTTTAAATGAAAAAGATAGTACTGAGATAGAGGTCACTAGAATATGAGTGTGGACACCTTTTATTGATTAAAATGTCATAAATCAAGATATAACTTAAATATCCTGTCTTTGTGGCAAACAGAGGGACAGTTTAGCTTATATCATGGACTGTAATGTCCTAGGACTAGCTCTCCTCACGCTCATTTTTAAATTCAGTTTTTATACAAATGGTATTTTTTGTTAACATTGAAATAATTTTCATTCGGATAAAATACTTGCTTTTGTGCATAAAGAAAACTCTATACAGCGAAGTCTCAATGGTCTTCCTGCCCTACAGGAGAAGGTATAAGTTCATATGGTCCGTGTTTTTTGGTACAGGTTCATATGTTTGCTAGGCTCTCTGCAGAAAGATATGACATCAGGCCTTGGGCTGGAAAAGCTTAGACTCTACAGATAGTGTGTAGATGAAGAATGGAAAGTCAGAAGTGCTCAGGAGTTATATTAGCATATTTCTTTGAAGTTCCTTAAGAGGAAGAAAAAAAATCTAGTTTTAGGGTGAAATTCTGTGCTCAGGACTTGTAGGCAAAGGCTTTAAATACTCTGGAGGTGCTCATCAGGAAACTTCTAGGGAGTATCTGTACTGATAACATTTGCATTTTTTGAGCAGAGGAATCTTCTCCCAGAGAGAATAAGGTGTTTGAAACTGCTTTATGCTGCCCTGCCCCATCAAAAATGGGACTAAAATAAGTTGTTTTTCTCTCTGTTATTGTGTCCTTAATAAGGCACAAGACTTCATGTTGTTCTTTTGTCAACACTCATACCTCCTTTAGGTTAGTATGGTATATCACATTACTGTTCAGATTATTGCTTTTTGGACACAAGTTTTTTTCAGCAATCTCATTTTTGAGACATTCAATTCTTATTGAACTGTAGGAGTTGGAAAAGTATCCAACTTCCTACTTCATATGCTCTTGTATAATGGAACAGCTTTCCGAGATAATGCCTTAGTAACAAATAAAAAAAAAAAAAAAAGCACTATGTAAGTAGCGACCAAAAGGGTTGCCAATAGGGGTTGTGTTACAAAGTACTGAATTTGAGAAGTTATTCTTCCCAGCGGATACCAACATGCCCATGCGGAGCACACAGCAGTTGCAAGCACACTTCAAAATATCATGGCCGAATGGTTTATATTGACTCTATTGGGATGTGTCTGTTCTCCTCTTAAAGAAAACCTTTACGCAACCCTCAAGATCAGACTTGCCTACTAATCAGATAGCAAGTTGTAAGGCATCCACTGTATGGATGAGTGCTGGCTCTTTTTTTTTCTATAAATGGAAAAAAAACCACAAGACAGCATTGGCTTCAACACTTGTCTCTCTCACATCTTCATGCGTACAGGCACTGCCGTTACAGAAAGCCCGTAAGAAAAATGAACAGCCATTCTAAGCTGCACAAGTCCTTGCTGAGAACTTAATTTCAGCATCTGTTTGTGAATTAGGAAGAAAACATCTCTCCAAGGTCTTCGTAAACTAAGTAGTAGAATTCACGTCACCAAGCTTTTAGACACCTATGTCTTAGGCAGTTACGGTAGCCTCCCTTTATAAGCAGTGATGAAGAAAAGGCATATTTTTGAGCATGATTTGATTCAGTGGTTCTAGATGGTCAATTTAAGATAACACAATTTGCACCTTGAAGAGCCTATTTCTCTTTATTGATTATAGAGGAGCCTAGACAACTAACTCAGCTGTAGACATGATCTGTGTTGGTTAGATGAAGCTCCCTCTGCTTGTATTTATTTGTCTCAGCCGGAACAGTTTGTGCAGCAGTTAATCAGTGTGGCTTGTGAAGTAGAGTTTGAGGTAAACTTTATGACTTCATTGGATAGGTTTTCTAGTCAGATCTTCGAAAGATCGGGTGACTGGTGAGAAATTGGTGAACCGTGACACAAGTTATGTTATGTATCTTGTCTCAGATTTACGTCTCTGACCTGTGTCATGCATCTCAAAGGGTATTTGCATTTTGCAGACATTTTTGGGACTGACAAAGATCGTTGCTACCCTATTCCCTCTTTACCCCCTTTGTGTATTCAAAGGAGGAAATGCTAGCCATTCTGACACAACCCCACACATGGTGAACCTGCCAATTTCAATAGTTCATGGTGAAAATAATCCAGGTTAGATTCTAGATTAGGAGGGGGAGGGCTGTGTGGCTTTGTTTTGTTCATACTGAAGTCATATAAATCCTTACTTTCAAAATTTTTAAAAAGGGAGGAGAGGAAGTTTCTTGTATTAACCCTGTAGATAAAAGATCGTTAAAAATAAATATATACTAAAGAAGCCAATCTTTTCTATATAAGTGAGTGTAAAACTCTAATTTTGTAAAGCTTGCCTAAGTATGGCCTGATCCTTTCTGAGTTTCATGACAAATGGAATGTTTCAGCATGCTTTTTGGCCAGTCCTCTTGCATTATATATGTGTTTTATGGATTTGTGATAAAAAATGTGTTTATAACCTTCCTTATTTCTGTTTACTTTTTTCATTTTAATTTTTGTTTTCAGACAACTTTTTTGGTTTTGTCTTTTTATTAATATTAAAATTTTAATGCCCAGTAATCTGATACATATTCTAATTTGTCCTTTCTATTTTTCTGCTTTATTGTTTCTTTGAAGTAAAGTGAGCAAGTAAAATGATAATGCCCTGTCCAATGAAGAAAACTGATATAACAGATCTATGTTTTGTTGCAGAAAATGTGGGCAAACTAAAGAAGCTGGAATATTTAAATGTAGCTTTGAACAACATTGAAAGAATTGAAAATCTGGAAGGTCAGATTTTAAACAAATCATTTTGCCTTTTCATATTGAAACACGCAAGTTAAGTTGTGACTTAGTGCAAAAGAGGGCGGAAGCCATTAAGTATGTCCACCAGTAAAGGTACTTTGTTGATACTCAGAAAGAGCCTTTTTGTGTGCAGCTTTTCAAAAATGTTCTTTGTAGCAAGTGCTTCCGACTGCTGCAGTTTTGTCATTGAACTTTCTTAAATGTATTTTAACTTGCTTTTTGCATACTCTCTCACCAGTGTTGCCAACTATGATAGCTCTATTCTTTAATACTTTACAAAGCGGGAATACAAATTTTTCATGAAATTGGTATTTCCCCACTGTAAAGATAAGATAATTTGTTAGGCAAGGTAGCTGGAGCAATGCAATTTTTTTTTTTTTCTAATACTATGCAGGCTGTAAAAAGTCTCTCTTGTGTAACGTTTCAGCAGTCATCTTCACTTTAGCAATCAAGTGTCACACACAAGAAGGTTCTACTCTGTGCACAGGTTGCATTGGCAGTCTGGGGTATTTTTAAAGAGTTTTTCAGATGATTCTTTTCTCTGTCATTGCATGAAGTCCTGTCTGTTTTATCTGTGTTTAATCCGTGTTTAATCCTTTTTCCTGTCACTATAATTGAATGTGCAAAGATCTAGCATTTTCCAAGATCAAAATGTAAGTCTTAGAGTCACCCATAAACACATTCCATGTTACTTGAATAATTTCTGGCTTGATTTCTTTCCCTTTCTTTATTCTGATTAGGCCAGTTGCTGAATCTTTAAAATGTCCACCTTGACAAGGGAACAATAAAAAAAAGCTGGGTTTTTTTGTTTGGTTTGTTTGGTTTGGGTTTTTTTGTGCTTTTTTTTTTGACTACAAGCTGATTCAAGAAGATGGCTTAAATCAAATAAAAAAAATAAGCAAATAGACTAAACACAAATTTGTAAAAGTTGAAGAAATAGGTAGTACATTACATATTTGGCAATTTGTTGAGAAGCTTGCATCTGTTTTCATGCCAGTAAATTTTAAGTTCCTCTATCAGGCTGCATTATTTATTACTGTGATTTGTCATTTACATAGAAGTCAGAACCTTTGGGAGTGAGCCTTGCAAAGATTTCGGTTATTTAAATCCCCTAATAAATCATTTTGAGTTGTTTATTTTCTTTCAGCTCCACTATGATAAAATACTTGCCAAATAGACATGCAAAGGAAGTGATTACAATGATGAGCACAGAAGTTGAGCTTGCTCTTAGCTGAACATTTTTACTCCTAGAGTCAAGGTTATGATTCATAGACAGATTATGATAAAAGGATAGGCTGATGTATTTTGGATCCTTATTTCCCAGAGCATTTTGTTAGCTAATTTAGAGTTTCTGTTTATAATGAATTGTTTTGGTTAACAACATTTTCTCACCGATACTTGCAATTTAACCAGTGATAAAGTATTCACAATGATAGCTGTGAACAGAGTGGAGAGACTCAGTGATAACTGAGTCCGTAGAGTGGAAAACCTCATCTTGACCTGGAGTGAAGTTTTAGAAAACCTTATCTTTACACTTGAATAATATTAGCTAAGATTAACAGTACACAGAAATGAAACCCATAATTGATCCTGCTCTCCTGAAGCAATTAGACACTCTTTTAGCCATATGGTGAAGACTCAGTTGAGGAGGGGTACCAAGGCATCAGACTGTTAAAACTGAAGTCCAGCCTATCCGGAAAAGAAACATTTAATAGTTCATCTAGTACACAAGCACTGACCACAAAGTTTTGACAGTGATAAAACCAATAATAAGTTTTGATATTTTTTATTTTATTGAGATTTTTTTTTCTTTCTATGGGTATTGTGACCTCATAAACTTAAGCTGTGAGTCACTCTTTTACTTGTGGCTTGGAAAAGATGTATCCTGATAGGATGAAATTAGTATACAAACAACAAATGCAGACAGTTTTATATCCAAGTGTGTGCACAGGTGTGTGTGTTTGTGTATGTGTGTATGTCATGTATACATTTATGTTATGGACAAATTGAATTAAGGTTTTTTCAAACAGGCTGTGAAGAACTGAAGAAACTTGACCTGACAGCAAATTTCATTGGTGAACTCTCCAGTATTGAAGCCCTAAAATATAATATACATCTGAAAGAACTGTTTCTAGTGGGTAACCCATGTACTGAATTTGAAGGTTATAGACAATTTGTGGTGGCAACTCTTCATCAATTAAAAGTAAGATTTTTAAAATTAAATTTATATCCAAATCAATAACCAGCATTGCTGTCTGAACATAATAATCCCAAACAAAATAAATGCCTGTGGTAGGAAAACTAGGAGCATTTTTCTTACTGTCCGCAGGAAATTAAATTCTATTCTGAAGAATAAGTGACTACAGTAAATAATGTGATAATAAATTGGTTCTGTTTTGACTAAACCACATGCATTTGTTAACTTTTCTGTCATTTTCATTGGATATCCTTAAACAAAGTTCTGAAAAAATAAATACACTGTACAGTTCATTTGTTTTTATATATACAATGCATTTTTAGATTATTTTCATGATTGCAGAAAGTTACCACGTTGTTGGTACCATACCAACAATATGTGCCAAACCAACAGTGTAAGGCAGTAGAAAGATAGAAGGTGATGTAAAAATGTACTATATTGCATCGACTGTAAATAGATGCTTTGAGATTGAGGTTTCATGCAATGATGTACTGATGTAATGATTTCCTCCCATGGAAACAGGCAGTCCCAGTCCTGAAATATGCTCCCACATATTTCCCTTGGAGAAACACAGATGCTTACTTAACGTATTAAGAGTAGATTCAGCTCACTTATTTGGCAAAAAACTAACACATCAAAAGAAATAATTTTGTAATAGTTTCATGAGCTGAATCAAGGTTGGACGAATATTAGAAATGGCTGAAGGGATTCTCTCTACTACATGGTCTAATAAGACCAACTGAAATTCCTGGAAAATGCAAAAAGGAGCTCTCACATGCACAAAACCATTTTCAGGTCTGAACAGCAACTTATTGCTAGTTCTTTTTAAAATACTATAACTTACATAGTGCTATGGAATTTTGAAAAGCGTATTTTTAATTTTTTACAGAATGTAATCTATCAAAATTAACATACAGTTTAATGGATTTATTGGTTTGAATATGTTTAAAATTTCTCACGTATCTATATTGACTTTTTTTCCCTTTGGGAAGTGTTTGGATAGTAAAGAAATAGAACGTTCAGAGAGGATTCAAGCACTTCAAAACTATTCAGAAGTGAAACAGAAAATCAGAGAACAGGAACAAGCTTACCTTCTCAAAAGGGCCAGAGAAAAAGAAGAAGCTCAAAGAAGGATGCAAGAAAGAAAGGACAAGAAACAAAAACAAATGGAATCTAAGCTTGGTTTTGACAGGTAACAGTAAGCAACAACAGTTTGTGAGTAAACATCATTATTCTCTTTCTTCATTTGAGAAGAATTTTGTTTTTCCTCATTAAATAGTTTATATAATTCCACTTAAATCTTTTGTTTTGTCTTTATTGTCGATTAGAGCAGAATTATTTCTCCTTATGCATGTTATCTCTAATGAAAAATACAATTAATTACAAACATAATTAATTACTGACCTGCAGACAGTACAATAAAATTTTTGTCCCAAAACTCCAAGCTAAATTGTCTGGGTGCCAAAATAGTGTAATTGAGCCCTTCTTTCAGGAGAACAGCTAGATATTGTTATTTAAGGTAACGCAGAGGTTGCAGAGAAAGCAGCTGTTCACCTGTAATTTCTTTTGCTTTAGAGTTATTAGATATGAAGACTGAAGTGGAATACTACAGATCTTTTGAGATGTAAAAGGCTATGGAATGTTGATTTCTATACTTCTTCCACCTAATATCATTGAGATTACCTAGACAGGAGAAGGATTTTTGTCTGGGGTCATCTTCCACTGCAGTTGCCATCCATCTTATTTTTAAACCAATAGAGACTAAGTTCCATGGAGCTGGCTATAGAACTTTGTCCTCATAGATCACAGCTGTACCATAAATTCAGTTTTCTTTCTATATTGATAGAGAATTTCTGAAGATTACAGAGGCTTAGGGCTAGGGGGAAAAATGATTCAGGTTCTAAGATGGCACTTGAGGAGATGCCTAAGTAAAATGTTGCTACCCTATAAATTTCTAATCTGCTGCTGCTTCCTGATATTGGGAATACTTAAACATCACACAACTGGAAGTTGTGTGGGTATCTGAAAATTCTGCTCCTGAAATTAAATCTGTTGAACTATCTGTCGGGGTTTTCAGAGGGTTAGGCATAACCATAGTATCACTTCTTAGTTAAGTAAATGAAAAACATTATGTCAAAATATGTTTTGATTGATGAAAGAAGCAGAGCAGAGAACGTTGTCCAAATCTGTAAGATACTGTTCTTGGTAGGAATTATACAGCTATTAGTATTGGGTTAAAAAAATATTATTGGAAGAATTCATTAGCAAGTACTCTTCCTTCATTTCATTGGGATAATATTCCATGTGATCTTGTGTAGCTCAGACTCCCTACAGAACAAAGAAAACCATCAGGCAGAAGGAGACAGAGAACAAGGAACGTGGAGAACAGTTGAAGATGATGAAGAAGACAGAAGATTTTGGGAGGAGCCTACACCATATACTCCAGAATCTAGATTAGAAACTCACAGATATATTGAAGAAAAACGGAGAGCTAAAGACAATATAAGGTATGTTTTTGTTTTAATATATTCTATGAATTGAGGAAGGGAAAGTTTTCAAAGGTACAGAGTAGAGGTAGGCGACTGCCTCACATTAAATATTACGGAGAACTGGCAGCTTAAATCCCCGTTGCCTGTGAAAATATGCTTATATAATCTAAATAAAATATTCAGATTGTTCATTTTGTTTTGTTTAATTTTCTAAAATTTATTTATGATACCCTTTTTCTTGTTTTTTCCTCAGAGTTTTTAAATATAATTTCTCTTTTCAACTCCGTTTTATGGACTTTAGAAGTTTCACTTTTCTGTCAGCTAACATGTTTCCTGTAGTTCAATGTTTAATATTCTCGCTAAAAGCATTTATCCAGAGTGCAGGCTGCATTATATAAATGCCCTACAGGCCATGCTACAAAATTTTTGCACAAGTGGCATTTTAGGCATGTTTTCCATGTGACTTAGAATTTTTTTCACATACTTTATCAAAGGTGTTAGTCCTGAGTAATAAGATTCTTCATGTTATCTATGCTATTTGGCATGGTGTATCTGAAGATGTCTGGTCCCTGAAAAGCCTTTAAAACTTTCTAAAGTTGCCACTGGTTTTGCTGATCATGGAAAATTAATGCAGATACTAGCAAAAAAAGTTATTTTATTGCTGCTGGCTTATCAGTTCCACAAACATTGTAAGCAATGTCCTTTTTTTTTTCTTTTGCTTATATAACAGTATTTGTGCCAGAGATTTTTCTAGCTGTTCTTTTTAAGGGCATGCTTTTAAAAAGATTTATCAAGCTTAAGTATTGTAAAAGTCAGTCCTAGGGAACTCTCCAAGAAATCTGGAAATCTGCATAACTTGTTGCTATTATTAATTCAAGGTCTAGCACTTTCCCAGAAGAACTACTGTGAAACCCAGATTCTAGGTAGTTAGAATTTTGCTGTGTTTGGGGATGCCTTGCTCTAGTCAAAAGCAACTGTGTTCCAAATACTTCCCTCTAAATATTCAAGGAGAGTCCAAATAGCGTTATAATAAAGATAGAATAATTCCTTTCTGGATTTTTCTAAATTTCCAAAGCATTTAAAGAAGTTAAAAATCATTTCACATTCATTTTGGTTTGGTGGCGAGATTTTTGTTAGGTAGCATGAGAAAGGTGAGAACAGAAAAGTGTCCCTGACAACTTCCAATCATCCTTGCTGGTGGACAGGAGCTGAAATGTAACTTTAATATAAGTTACTCGGTATAAAAGGATGTTTATTTTAGTACAAAATTGGCATGAACTCAATCAGACTGATGCTAAATTTGAACCTATCTATGACATGTTAGCACACGTTAAATTTGCCAGCTGGGGTATAGTTGGACAGTTGATAATAAACTGAGCACCTTTGGCTATTGCCAAATGAGTAAATACTTGCAGTTTCATTCAAAGAAAATTCAGGCAAGTGTAAAATCAGTTGCAGCTGAAAGGTGCACAGGCTCTCCTTTGCCTGTTCATTGCCAGAACAAGGCCTTTCAGCTCATCTCAGCACAAAGAGAAACAAGTTATCTTAAACTCTAATGATTATGACATGACTGAATTTGCCTTAAAATGGTTCACATGAGCAGACAGATTTCATCTAGAAACAGATTATTAACAGCTAAGAGGTGGTAGGATGTAATTTCCTGAAGCAGTTCTGAGAACTGCATCTTTAGAAGAGAGTGGTGGTTCGTTCACTTTGCATTTAAGTGTCAAAAGTATGGATTCAGGTGTAGAAACTGCTAGCCCACAAGTCCCACATTAAAGCTCTGATTTATACTGTAGACTAGTATTTAACACATGGATGGTTGTGAATCTTTCTTAAACAGAAGTTGTTTTTATGTAGTCATTCCAGTAGCTTCACTTGAATGTTTTTATTTCTTCTTCAAATCCATTGTATTTATAGACCAAATATTTTTTAATGCTTTTTTTCCCCAAGGTGGTCTAAATCTTACATACTTTATTTCCCTCATTAGTGATTTACCTTTAGTGTTCTCTTAATCTTGAACTTACAGTAAGAAATTGGTTCGGCAACACAAAAAGCAACGTATTGCTGTTGTCTTTTTGAGAAATGTTTTTTTAATATGCCAGCTGAAGTAGCCATACACACTACACTGACCAGCTGAAGAGTGAATTAATGCAAAGCGACAATTACAGTGTTGCATTTTTAAAGAAAACATAGCCATTTTTTACCTAGGTGCAATCAGACTTTTCTTTTTCATGTTACTAAGATTCCTTAATCTTCTTCTCCTTGCTCATGATCTAAACATTTATACAGGAAAATACCAGCACTACAAGGCTTAATTATCTTACAGTGATCTGCTTTGTTTTGACAGATAAATTTAAGGTAGCTTGTTTATTGCACTAAACGAAAGTCAGGTATAGTTTAATTGCTGATAGCCGGACATGGATAGTGAAGACTGAAGTCTCCATCAGTAATATGTATTACATTTTTTGAAGGAAGAACACAACAAAAAATTTAATAGATGCATCAACAAATTATCTATATGTGTGCACTTTGGTCATACTGTATCCTATTTGGTGCTGCTTGTAATCTTTTGACCATTAAAATTCTTTTTATTAGTGCCGAATAGTGACTGATAGGCATGCTATTTAGAGATATCCCAAGCATTTGTTCAGTAGAAGTAATTAAGTTAGCATGAATAAAAAATTTCTTTAGAATTGCTTGCACATACATCAAATCAGTTAACAGTAATGATACCTCATGATTAGTATGACGATTCATAACTAGAAAAACATCCCATTTCAAATGTTTAAGCAATACACTGAATTCTTAAGATATACCAGATAAATTTGATATATTACTGTTTGATAATGGACATTGTGACATGCAGAAGTTATTATCAATGTAAGACGTGATATTACAAAGCATTTGCTCATCTTTAGATGATGCTTTTAATGTGCAATTGGACATTTAATATAACTGGGTTTGTTCCTGAACTGAGTTGTATCCTTAACATCAAATACCAGATAATTCTTACCTCTTGCCATCCTCTTCTTTCTTTTTTGCTATTAAACATAAAAAAACAGAATGTGAAATTATAAACCATTTTTCTTTCTGTTTTGTTAAGGGAATCAAAAAAGAGAGAGAAGCCTCTTCAGACATTGGTCACTGCAGAAGGAAAAGTTCTGAATGTGAATGGGCCTAAGTATGTAAGGTTAAGAGGTTAAACAGGCTAACCTCGTTACAGTTGATTCAGGCAACTCTTGCAAGTTATGTGTCAATACAAAAGTAAGAGGGCTGACGAATTCTTTTGGCGGTATTATATTCCTGGTGGGGAAACTGACTTCTAAAATTATGTTCTGATGCTGGAAAAAGAATTATTTTTCAGTAAGTAAAGTGTTGAAGGTCGTTTAATTTAACACCTTGGTCTTTGATGATTGAAAAATTAGTTTTTCCATAAAAGATATAAGACGTTTTATTCTTTTCCCTTCTATGGTAAGGCTCTCTTTCTTTGAGCATCTTGCCAATAGTGGAAAAAGTTTAACCGGTTTGACTATTGAAGATAAATGTGTATGAGTAGCCACTTTAAATGTGGAAAAATTTCATCCAATTAGTATTTCTGGACAAAATAATTCTGTCCTCTGATGACAGATATAAAACTGGCAGAATTGGGAAGGATATGTAATTGACTTCTATGGCATGAAGTCCTTTGACACTGAATGAGGTCTCTGGCAACAGAGGCTGGTGATACGGGGAAGTCTCTTGTATTTTATCATTGACAAAGTCACCTGGGTATTCAGGTGTTTTGGAATGAGTGTCCAGGGATATCAGCCATGCGTTACCATTGGTTTCACTTGAACCAAGCCTTTTCTAAGGGAAAACAGGAGACAGAGAGTGCAAACATTGTTTCCTTATAAACAGCTCCCCAAAGAGCCTCCTACAGGAGAGTGTGATCAAAATGTGGCCTACGAAGGGCCACTTACCTGTCTGCTGTCCTCTGAACTAGTTTTTCCATCTTAAGACTGATTTAGCTGAAAATCAAAGCTAAGAACATGCTTATCATTAGCATGAAGAATGCTTTCTAAATCTTGGGAATTTATAAATCTATGCAAATTCAAGGAATTTGAAAACCTACATTATAAGATCAATGCATAATTTTCAGTGGTATAGCGAAAATTAAAGGTAGTGGCAGAAGAGCTCATATTTTTTCCACCTGTACCAGAAGATACTTACCATTGTATTGATGTACTTTTTTTTGTAAAAATGTGTTGAATGAAAAAAAATTTAAATAATTTTCTACTTCAAAGAAGATGAGTCTAAAACAGTTTAAATCTTGTGTTAGTAGAATTTGATTATGCCTCTAAAGAGCAGAGACATTTAGAATAAAGCTCTAGCTATCTTTTTAGAAGAAATACAGTCCCCTAGAGTTCACTGTTAGTAGCAGTCCTGTTTGCGTCACCCAAGTTTTCTGGATTAGAATTTAGACTGTGGATGCGCCCACATAAAGCCAGATCAATGAGCAGTTTTTTTCATGGCTTCAAGAAGAATGTCACAGCTCTTCAGTGCAGTCTGCAGTGTATTGGAGAGACATAAATAAAGAGATACAAGTAGACAGATGGTGTTCTCCAAAGGTTTTGCCTCAATGTGAAAGTCTAATGTCCACAGGAATGTCCAAGCTTCTCTCACATTCTTTTGAAAGGTTAGCAAGAGGAATGGCTGCATGCTGCTGAGAAAAGACTATTTCTCTTCCTCAGTTCTGATTAAGCTTCCCCCTAGAAAATTTTACAATTCTTTTCTCTTTTTAACCCTTCATGTTTTAGTGAATTCTCAAAATTTGTGATGCAGTAAGAGAAAAAAGCATGAACAGGAAACAAAGCTGTTTTGTAGTCTTTGCAGTTTTCCATTAAAAAATACTATAAACTAAAAGCTCCGTAAGCTTTCTTGCAAGTTGACTGTGTCAGAATACAGGAAAGCAAAGAGTTAAAAAGTATATCTGGCAAATATTTTTATTGCTGAAAAAATTTATCATCTAAACTGTTAACATTTGAGCTTCTTTCTGTTACCTGAACCCAAAGTATCTAAGTATTTTAATGTCACTGAAATATTCCAAATAAATTGCATTAAGCAAACCCCTCTCATTTAATACTAATAACTAGTTTATAAAAATCTTCTCATTTATAGGTGGGTTATATTCTGTTTTTTCTCTACTTTAATACATGGGAAATGTTTGAGTATATGAGCAGAACTTGTAAGTCTAGACTAGATCTCCTTACAGTTGTAGTAATAGATGTTGATTTCAATTTATAACTGGTAAGATTCTTTCACAATTTTACGAAGTCAGCCAGCAGATCACAAACATGCAGCTAATACAATCTACAGTTTCATTTTCAACAGATATTATACAACTTGTAGAATAGGATATTGTGCAATTCATGTTTTACTTTGGAAATGCACAGGCAGATATTCATACTCCAGGCAAATTAATTGCTATGAACAAAGTTGCGATTTTTTTTTTTTACATATGATAAGGCTAGAATTGCCAAGTTCCAGGCTTTTCATGCTTTTCATGAAGTGTTTTTTCTATGCAGATGTTAATAGAGCAGACAGATTTCACCAGCAGATGTCTCTCTTTCTGCATTGACAGCCTGATCTTAATTTTAACTGACCTTCAGCAGTATTTTTTTTTTTGTCTCTTATGGCTTGGGTGGGGAGAATAGAAAATAAATGTGAGAATGACTTTGGTTCAAATACCAGTGCTTTTTTCTGTTCGTGAGGGAAATTGCAACTGTTTCTCAAATGATCACGTGACATATTGTCTAAATGGTATTTGTATTCATGTAAAATTGCTAGCAGTTGAATTTGAAGTATGCCGTAATGTTTGCTTATTCACTCCAATTATATTTATCCTGGAGGTGTTTCTTGTCATTATTATTAGGCTTCATTTCTCTTTGAAAGATGATGAAGAAAACAACCAGATCATCTTGGATCTTGCTGTTTACAGGTCAGAATTTTTTTTTTCTCTTAACTTTTGCCATTCTTAAGATCTAATACACAGTGTTTCAAATATACTCCTCTCTGTACTGGGGACTTTTCAAGAGGAAAACAAATAACATCATAAGGGATAATGGAATAAATCTTGAAGCCAGTGCCAAAGAAATGAAGCTGAATAAACCAAAGACCCTTCAGACTGTTCACACACTCCTCAATGGGGACTGTGTCTAATTGTACTTTTTGAATTGATGTTTTCTGCAGTCCACAGGCAGGTTTCCTCCACACCTGTCCTTTTATACTTATGTAAAATCTTTTCCCTTCTTCATTTGCAGATTAAGGCTGTAGGGAATGGGTTTTTTCCCATTCTCTGGCCCTAGAAGTGCTCCAGTATGGTTCATGCCCTTCTAGTTAAATAATTCTCCTCCCCAAGACAGAGTAGGGTAGCCTTGTCCTACTTTCCTTGCATACTGGAAAGAGTCCATGGCCCATGCTATTTCCTGAACTGTGCCAGGGCATTGCCTGGAAGAAATTTGGTTGAACCAGGCCAAAATATGGCAAGGAAACCTGATAACTATTTGATAGTATATACTACTAAGCAGTACAGTGGCCTTGCCCACACTTCAGGAAGGGATCGGAAACTCACAAGCTTATTTACCCATAATAGGAACTTGTTAGAGTAAAGCTTGAACTAGTTTTATAGCACAGAAAACACTATTCAAGCCAGGTGTTCTTCCCTTAAAGCTCATTAATTTCCCTCAAAAGAGGCCGGCTCCATGTTTCTGAATTATAAGAATTAGGGTTTTTTGGAGCCTCAGAAAATCTGTTCAGGTACAATAGAATGTTGGATATGTTGTAATATTCTGTGCTCACTTGTAAGAAATGCAAACTATAAAGTCTGAAAAATTCACCTGAGAAGTAACATTATAAAAGAAGGGAAATAGGGGACACGTACTTGTGCATTCACTAATAGGTCACAGGAACATGAGCGTATGTGTCACATGATGAAGAGCAGATGTTAAAGTGGAGCTTTTACAGGTCACAAATTTTGTTTGATAGTACTGAAATTTAAAAGTACTGTGTTTTCTGGGAATGTAAAGTATTTCTGTTCATTGTTTTCCAGGAAATTCTGTGAAAAAAAAAAGAACTCTTATTATAAATTTACTAAATTAAGCCTTCAGAAAGAAAAGTAGAAAAATACTTTTACAATTTTAAATAGCAAATAGATTAATTTTCATATTAATGTAAAGCACTAAACTAATAGAAGAAAGACCTTTTCATTTTCCACAAAGATTTTGAATTCTTGCAGTTATACAAAAGCTGATGTGCTGGACTTGATAGAATTTAGACATTATTTTAATTGACTTTCTGTGAACACACAGGAAGATCATGTTTTTCTTCCAAAGACGTTAAATCCTAATAATATTTCATATAACTTAATAACTGAAATTGAAGTTTGTAGTTTATAAACTGTGAAATCATCATTAAAGAGCTATATGGTCTGCACTGCTTATTTACGGGACTGTATTTTAGATTGATTCATTTATTTACATTTTATTCTGAAGACATTTGGACACTTCTCTGCTTGATGTTGATGTCCAGCCAACTTACATACGAGTACTGGTGAAGGGTAAGGTTAGTGTTTTCTTACTGCATTCATTTCAAATCAAGAGTTAATGCTTACCATAGTCATTCAGTGGACTCTGGATCTGACTTCTATGAGTTACCAACCGTGTGCACCTATGCAGAAAAAATGTTCTTAAAATGTTCTTTCATACTTGCATTATGTTGGACCACACATAAACTGTGGAAGTCCTAACCAGAAGACGTGCAAAGCCTGAAATGAAATTTCACTCTCTCTTTCTCTCCTTCTCTCTTCTTATTCCCCCTGCACAGTGTACCATAATTCACTTAAGAAGAGAGCTTGCTAGTTGCCCTAGGCTAGAATTTAGCAATTTCACAATCTGGAATTTATAGCTGACAGAAACAAATGGACGTATTTTCTTTCGAAAGGGCATTTAAAATGTCATTCCAGTTTTCTCTCTTCTCACTGGTTTTAATTTTATCATCAATTTTTTTTTTTAAATTCTAAGTACCTTAGACAGTAAACCAAAATCCCTATTTTTGATTGTACCAACTGCATAAACAAAACTTCAGAATTACTTTACGTCTAAAATAGACTGGATATTCTTTCTCATTTAATTGATAATACAAGTCAAGCATCATTTTATAACCTTCTTTAGAAATGTCACTTCAGGAATGACAACAATTCAGGAATATACATATGACTGTACTTGTAAGTAAAAGCTGTTTAGCACGCTAATCATTTATTAGGATTAATACTACACATAAAGTGAGAGGATTTAGACCTATACTGTCCTTAAGAGCAAAGGATGTGATAGTGATGTTTCTGCATGTGTTCTGTCCAGGTCAAAAAAAAAAAAAAGATATATTTTAGCATGATATACTTCAATCACATATTTTTTCATAGCCATTTCAGCTTGTGCTCCCTGAGGAAGTGAAGCCAGACAGCAGCTCTGCTAAAAGATCACAAACAACTGGTCATTTAGTTGTCAGCATGCCAAAGGTATGTAAAATAATCTGAGGAGTCATCACACAAAGATACTTAAAATGTTGTGAGTACTTTGGGAATGTTTCTGAGTTACAGGTAACATCTGGCTAGCTAAAGTTATTCAGTCTAGTCTTTCCCATCAGGACACATTTTCCAAAGAAGGAACATTCTGGAAGGCAATTTAATCATAGAGCCAAACCTTAGGATTTAAGATCCCTTTAAAGGAACGCTATGAAAATCAGTATTAGTAGAACTATTTGTATTTCCTTTATCGTCAACAAAACCAGCTTTTTATATATGAAAAGACACTCTGTAAAACATGCAGTATTGTGCAAATGTGTAAGAAGATGGATTTTTTAAATAACTGAAAATAAGCAACTTATCTACTTTCTTTTTCCACCTATGAAATAATAAAAACAAATCAATTTTTCACAATCTGTGTGGCACATACACATATGAAGATTACATTTTGGTTCAAGGACAGGGGTGCTGTAGTACTCTCACATCTCAGGTGATCAGAACAAGAGTTTCTTAATTCATTTCCCCTTCATGCTCTCCCTGGATGGAAAGGATCCACTGACCAGCTGTACCAAGTATATGTAGTCACAGACTAAGAGGCTTGTGGCAACATGGTGTTTCAATTGAAATATGCTGCACAACAGTCCCTAGTACTTAAAGAAACCCGGGTAGAAGTCATATTCCCCTAATATTCCTAACTCTGCGCTCTCCTATCTCCCCTGTGCTCTGATGTTTGCCGGTATGGTGTCATGCTGATCAGGATTCAAGTCAATTGAGAGTTCTGCTGGCAAGTAAAAGCAAATTGGCTTAAAGTGTTTTTTGCATTCTCTCTCTTCCCTGCCCACCCCAGTTCTTGCAGTGTAAATGAAAGCAAACTGATAGGTATGTCCGCTTTATTTTCTCTCTGCTGTGTCTATTCCTATGGTTTCAGTAAATGTAGTTTGTACCCTGGATACGTAAGTGGTATTTTGATTTGGGAGATGACATAATGAGTAGATGAGGTAGAATCAAAGGTGGAATCAGGACATCTCCTACGCATTCCCACACGTCTACCAAAAAATTAGAGAATAGTGAAGGAATGACCAGTAATGAGGAACAGTCGAAGACATGGAGGTCAACTTGCCTTACTGAAGTAGGCATTGAGAGAGGTAACGGGTGGCCAACAAGCAGTCAGTAGAAGTTTCGGGGGCATTAGAGCTTAAATACAGGGAAGATGCAGCAGTGTGAACCGGAATACAAGACAAGAGACAGAGGGAATCTGAGTGGCAGAGGTATCTTCAGGTTTGGGGCATAATGGGTAGGATGCTTGCAGAAACAGGAAGGCGTTTAAGGTGGCACTTGATGTCGTCTGGTGCAAGACTGTGTTCTTGGACCTGCAGGAAGAGCAGAGATGGATTGAAGGGCTTGAAGCAGACAGGGAGCTGGAAGTTTTAGGAAGGTAGAGTTCTGGAGATGAGAATGGATTATATGGTGGGGTTCTGGGAGCTGTGGAAGACATTAATCAACTTCAGCTTCATGCTCTTCTGCCATTATGCCTTTGGAGGGTTGGGCAAACCCTCTTTTTTTTTTTTTAAGTTTTAAGGCCTCTAGGCCTACATCATATATTTTTGGCTTTCAGAAATAAGGTAACCCTGCCTAACGATAGTTGTAGGAAAAAAAGAAGTTCTTCGTGCTCTGGTCTTACCCTTCTGGCCTCTAGTAAGTTTCTCTGCTGTGTAGGAGCAGTGGGACATGGTGCTACATATGAATCTGCCAGGATATATCAATTACAACATTTTCTTCTGAAGGAGCAACCTATTTGGGGTCATGTCTTTCTCTTTGTGCTCTGATTTTATTCTTAGACTATGCAACTAGTAGCTGTAACTAAAAAGTTATTTTTCAGCTTTTGGCTTTTTCTGCTTGTTGTTCTATACCTTCTATGTTTTCTTCCACACTCCAGTCCCATACCATCTCTCTTTACATGGACAGCCTCTCATTAAATTACAAACTGTCATTCTAGCATCAAACATGCAGTTTCACCAGGAGCTTGAAGAATGCTGAAAATTGTACTCATTTGGTTAAGATCCATATTTTGTTAATGTTCAAAATTCACTCATGTGAGAATTTATGCTTTCCTAAGTTTATTTCTTTGAAATTGAGGCCTTGACATTTGCCATTTTGGATAACGTCATTTTCAAATGTTTCTGAACAGTTTTGTTTACTATTTTACTTGTCTTTTGGATATTTTAAGTACTATCAGTTTTCTATCCCATAACCTGCTTTTATTGCTCATACGTCTTGCTAGTCTCTTTGTGGATGATCAGTGCCTTAGAAAATGTAAATATTTCAAAGAGTCTCTGGATATATCCAAATCTGCTGCCTGCCTAGGAAGTGATACCTAAATCAGCAAAATAAATATTATCTCTTCATATTGTGATTGAGAACTGCCTTTATTCCATTATTAACTTTATATTTCACCTACATTTCACTTACTTTGATATTTTAGCTACACCTACATATTTTACCTAGCCTGAGGGTCTGGAGCCTGCTTAATCTCAGAATGTCATGATTCACAGATTTTTGTGAGACCTGAGGAGAGAGAAGCTCTATAGAATAACTGAATTGATGTTCTGAGCTTTGTCTTGGTGCCGTCAAAACCTACTTGTGTAGCTGGAACACAGAAAGATACGCATGAATGGAGTGCTGCATGGTCTAATATCTCCATTGTCAATGGATCCAAAAATTGGATCCTGGAAAGCAGCTTTGCAAAAAAGGACCTGGGAGTCTTGGTGGACACCAAGTTGAACATGAGCCGTCAATGTCCTCTTCTGCCAAAGGAAGCTAATTGTATCCTGGGCTGCATTAGGAGTGTTGCCAGCAGGTCGAGGGTGTGGCCACCCCTCTATTCAGCATTGGTGAGATACACTTGGAGTACTGTGTCCAGTTCTGGGCTCCCCAGCACAAGAGAGACATGAACATACTGGAGACAGTCCATCGAAGGACCACGAAGGTGATGAAGGGACTGGAGCATCTCTTCTATGAGGAAAGGCTGAGAGAGCTGGGACTGTTCAGCCTAGAGAAGAGAAGGCTCAAGGGGATCTTATCAATGTATATAAATACCTGAAAAGAGGGTGCATAGCAGGATGGAGCCAGGCTCTTTTCTGTGGTGCCCAATGACAGGACCAGAGGCAATGGGCACAGACTGAAACACAGGAGGTTCCCTCTGTACATCAGGAAACACTTTTTTACTGTGAGGGTGACTAAGCACTGGCACAGGTTGCCCAGGGAGGTTGTGGAGTCTTCAATCCCTGGAGATATTCAAAAGCCATCTGGACATGGTCTTGGGCAACCAGCTCTAGGTGGCCCTGCTTGAGCAGGGGGGTTGGACCAGATGACCTCCAGAGGTCCCTTCCAACCTCAACCATTCTGTGAGTCTGTCATCCTGTGAACCTCATGGATCTGCTGACCAAAGATGGATTTGTGCTACTTCAGAGTAATTGCACGTAGCAGATACAAATCTATTGTTCTTTGTTCTATATTACAGTCACAGAATCTTTTCCTTTCCCCCAGGACTGAATTAGAGTGCACAAGTTTTGGGATACATACACTTTTCAGATGCTCTCTATCCATACAAGTTTTATTGGTATTAATAGGATGTAATCTAGGAAGCAAAGTGTAATGAATAAAGGTTAGCAACAACTGGAAGGCCAATAGATCTTTTTCTTCCAGAACATTATTGCGGAGGTTATCGACAATGTTTGACAATACTAATTTGAGATCATCCTCAACTTAATATGAATTCCTTGTAGTACAATAATAGGAAGAACAGAGTTCATGCAACTTCTTTCAGGCTGTATCAGTGATAAGGGGCTGGTGCCATCGGAGGAATTTTGGCTTTTTTGATCATGGGGAGGTTTACACGGCACCGGGCCTGCTGGCGACAGATGGAGTCCAGCTATCTCACAGGGGGAAAAGGGTCATTGCTCATGAATTGGCAGGGCTCATTGAGAGGACTTTAAACTAGGTTTGAAGGGGGAAGGGGACAAAACCGGGCTCGCTAGAGATGAGCCGAGGGGTGGCATGCTGATGCCGGGGGTGAAATCGATAGCCCAGCTCAAGTGCATCTACACCAATGCACGCAGCATGGGCGGCAAGCAGGAGGAGCTAGAAGCCATCGTGCAGCGGGAGGGATATGACTTAGTTGCCATCACAGAAACATGGTGGGGTGACTCTCATGATTGGAGTGCTGCAATGGATGGCTATAGACTCTTCAGAAGGGACAGGAGAGGAAGGAGAGGCGGCGGGGTGGCTCTGTATGTTAGGGAGTGTTTCGATTGTATAGAGCTTAACGATTGTGATGATGATGCGGCTGAGTGTTTATGGGTAAGGATGAGGGGGAAGGCCAATGAGGCAGATATCCTGCTGGGAGTCTGTTATAGACCACCCAACCAGGATGAAGAGGCCGATGAAGCGTTCTGCAAGCGGCTGGCAGAGGTGTCTCGATCGCTGGCCCTTGTTCTCGTGGGGGACTTCAACTTCCCGGACATCTGCTGGAAATACAACACGGCAGAGAGGAAGCAGTCTAGGAGGTTCCTGGAGTGTGTGGAAGACAACTTCCTGACACAGCTGGTAAGTGAGCCTACCAGGGGAGGTGCCTCGCTCGACCTGCTGTTCACAAACAGAGAAGGACTGGTGGGAGATGTGGTGGTCGGAGGCCGTCTGGGGCTTAGCGACCATGAAATGGTAGAATTCTCAATTCTCGGTGAAGTAAGGAGGGGAGGCAGCAAAATTGCTACCATGGACTTCCGGAGGGCGGACTTTGGCCTGTTCAGGACGCTGGTTGAGAGAGTCCCTTGGGAGACCATCCTGAAGGGCAAAGGGGTCCAGGAAGGCTGGACGATCTTCAAGAAGGAAGTCTTAAAGGCGCAGGAGCAGGCTGTCCCTGTACGCCGCAAGAAGAACGGGCGGAGAAGACGACCGGCCTGGCTGAACGGGGAGCTTTTGCTGGGACTCAGGAA